TGATTTTTCTTGACAGTCCTCTCAAGGCTGCACCTTTTCCTACCACAATTTTTCTTCCATCAACCTTCCAATAATATTTTTCAAAAGCCAGTTGAATAACAGCCTTTTCAGCCCTAATCGTCTGTGTTTGAAGGGGTCTTTATGTATCTTACAAAGATACCTCCCATGTGCCTCTTGGGTGAGGTGTTCGGGGCACGTCCAACCGGGGGGAGTTCTTGGAAGATCCAGGGCTTGCTGGAGAGATTGAATCTATCATCTGGCTTTGGAGAGGTTCTGTGTCTTCCTGGATTAGCTGGAGGAGGCGGCTGGGGAGAGAAAGATCTCGGCATCTCTAAGAGACCGCTCCACAGACCTGGAAAAGCAGCAGAAAATGAATGGATGGATTTAATTTGATTCATCTACCTGTTGTTTTCACATTAATACACGCTTTACAACACAGCTCAGGGTGACTGTGTATGCTTGTCCTCTGCTGTTCTTTTTAATAGGCTATATATTTGAGGATAAAGATCCGGTGTCTTCTAGTTTAGATTTAAACTGGAAAAAAGGCAAAGCATTAATTTGATATAAAAACTGATGAGCAAATTTAGCAACATTTAACCAACAATTCCTAAATAATGGCATCAAAGTTTGACTATCCCTTACCACTTGCCTCTAGCTTGTGGGAGGCACATAATTGTAGTACTGGGGGAAAAATATTTTATGTAAACCCACAATCATTACATATTCCTTGGCAGTTTAATTGGGAAGACAAGTCATTATTATAAAAAACATATTTTCCAAAGAACAGGGTTTATATTTCTGGCTCAGGATGGTGAATCCCTGTTGTCTATCTTATAAAGAGCTGATTGGTTTGTTTTTGGGAATTAAGCTTGAAATGTTGAGATTAGAATTAAAAGTGACAAAAAGTTAAAAGCCTGTGATGGAATAATTCCTTCTTTTGCTTTCATGACACTTTACCAGTCCCTGAAGTCTTCTCAGGCCTCTGATTCATATTCATTTGCTGCTGCTTGAAAGATGAGAAAGAATCATTTGAATCAAACACTCATCCCTCTGCCCTGAAAAAGCTCTCGTTGTCTGCAGCGCGTACATGAAAGCTTGGTTCTCTGCCATTTCAGGCCTCAGTAAATACCAGCGCAAGACCAAAACACGCAACACTTTTTAAATTATTACTTCAAAATGCATCACCTAATTGTGCATCTGTGGAAGAACTTCCTCTTCTTTCCAAACTCAAGTGTGACAGATGAGATGCTGTAAACAGCTATGTGACTCGGGGCTCTCGGGAGTGGCATTTGCACTTTAGTGGCAGATTTTTTATGTCCTCAGAGAATTTTCATACACAAACAAACAAGAAGCAGATTTTTGAATGGCCTCTATATTTTTTTATTTCTCTCGATGTGTCATATAGGGATGAATCATCATGCTGAGAACAGTTAACCTCAAATCTGTAATATATTTAACAAATTTATGACTTGATTTGAAGTATTCACTTCAAACTATAACATCAGACAATGTCATTTAACTTGAATTCACCTGTAACCACTTTCTGACACCGGAAACTGCATTTTTAATATGAAGCGTTGTATTCCCCCTGTGTCAAGCATGCTCCCCCAATTTTTACCAGATACTTTGAAGTGACAGCAAACAGCTCGTCTTGCTTGTTGTGTCCCAACAATGCACGCTGACAACTGATATGATGCTGCTTGAGCTGCTTGACACATGACAGATTTGTTGTTGTTGCTTCTGGTTGTATCCTTTTCTGAAAGGTTATTTGTATTTCTGCAGTTAGCATATTTCTCATTCAAGCTGTAAATGTAAAGCTTCAAAATCAATTCTGATTTGAAGAACGAATGAAGTGACCTTATATGCGTAAAAGAGGACAATCAGAGAATATCTGCTATTCTGCAGCTTTCCCCCTCACTTTTATTATGTTTCAGCGTCATGGGGTTATTGCTTTTTTCCAACATGCAATATTTCTGTCATTTAAAAAAAAAAAAAAGTGTGATCCAGTTCCAAAATGCCTGACAGACGCGTTGCAGGGGTAGGCAACTCCAGGCCTCGAGTGTCGGTGTCCTGCAGGTTTTAGATCGCACCCTGGGTTAACACACCTGAATCAAATGATTAGTTCATTACCAGGCCTCTGGAGAACTTCAAGAAATGCTGAGGAGTCATTTAGCCCTTTAAATCAGCTGTGATGGATCATGGACACATCTAAAACCTCCAGGACACCGGCACTCGAGGCCTGGAGTTGCCTACCCCTGCGTTAGAGAGTAGCTGCTAGACATGGTGGAGCTTTAGCAGGTGATGCTACCACAGATTCTAACAGAAACACCTCTTCATATGGTTATTTTAAACAAGCAGCTGGTTGCTATCACCCACATAATCAGGTGACCCTATATAAGTTGTAAGTAGGTCATCTGAACTGGCTAAAAATGAAGTGAATATGTTAATCCCAAAAAATTAACTTTCTCAAATAGTGAGGAAGTGCAGTTTGAGGCCAGAGCCAAAAGAAGCGAGCCGGTCGCCACAAAACACAACGGAAAAAACATGTTTACAGCCTGGTATGAAAATTGGTTTAGGTTTCAGTAGCTGATTGCACGGGGAGTGAATTTTTATAAAACTTATGCATTATTAAGGGTGTGGGTGCTTTGAGTGACAGGTGGGTGCTCTCTTGTGTTCAGTGTTTGGTTGTGTTAAAGAAACTCTAAAGATGCTGCTGTTCATGTTCTGTTTTCCACTATAGTATGCAAAAGAATTCTCATAGGATACGGTGGGACAAAACATGAGACACCAGGTGACCTGAGGTTGAGCAGGCCCCAAATTACATGCCAGCAGCAACCCACAGATCAGCCCTCTTAATCCTAAACCACCTTGTAACTTTTTCTGCAGCTTTGCTCACAGATTGAACGGCCCTCCTCTTGGCCTCTCCTGTAAGTCCCAACCACGTGAGGACTTTGCAGAATGAATGTCCTGCAAAACCTCTGCATCCGACTTCAAGCTCAGAGGTTTCTGCACTCTTCCACGATGTCTTGGCACCTATTGGATTTCCTCTCATTCACTTCAGTATACACTTCTCATATTGGTAGCTGTAGCTCAGGAGTGTCCAGTCTGCATGGCAAAGCATCCTTGATCATGATACTGAACCCCAATGCATTCATCGGAGTGTGAATATTAGATAGAAAGCACTTTGAGGCATGTTGCATAACATGCCTTGAGTGCTCAAATAGAACAATAGCAATAGAAAAGTACTATTTACTAGTCCCAGGCTACTGTGTGTTCCAGCATGATCGGATGTTTTGAAGCTTCAGAGATGATGATCGTGTCAGATCTGATCTCCAGCTTCTTTTTATTCTCTTAAGAGAACCCTAGGCTCTCTCTTTCACAGCATGTCTTCCTCGCCTTAACCCAACTGACTGCGGCAGATGGCCGCCCCTCACTGAGCCTGGTTCTTCTGGAGGTTTCTTCCTGTTAAAAGGGATTTTATCCTTACCACCATTGCCAAAATGCTTGCTCATAGGGGTCATATGATAGTTGGGGTTTTCTCTGTTTTCTTTGTATTATTGTAGAGTCTTCATCTTACAATATAAAGCACCTTGAGGCAGCCATTGTTGTGATTTCATGCTATATAAATAAAACTGAATTTATCTGATTTATCTCCAATGACCTCTATACATTATATACATTCTTTCAAATGGCAGTTGATCAGGGTTAGTTGGGGCAGGTCTGTTCTACTAATTGATGCATGCACGTCTGTATGAGTTAGCATGCCCAATCACCGTGATATGACTGATCGTGAAATATGCAGGCTGTTTTCTTTTGCATTGTGTGCCTATTTGTAAATATGTTTCATGGATTTTGTGTCAAAATAGCCAGCTGATACAAATTCTGATCATATTGTGAAACTGGGATTGGGTGCCCTCTTTTAAAGCCTGTTGACTGTACAAACTTTCTTGAGAAGATTCTGGACGGGCATAGCTGTGAACAGCCACGTAAATAACTGACTGTGAATTTAACACTAGTTTGTTATGCTTTGTTTCTATAAAATGGTGATGAACAGGAAAATAAAAGTCAGAAGAACAACTGAAGGAATAATCAAGAATTTGTGTAAACTGAAATCTCATCTTGTTTGATTTCATTCTGCTTTTCAGTTTGACTTTGTTTGTTACCAAATTTCTCATTATGGGAAATAAAAAGCAGCTGCCACTGAAGCTACAGTAGCAGCTGCTGGTATATACAAATATAGGTGTTTACATAGAAATAATTATTTCTGTTTGTGGACTTAAAACAACTTACCTGATTGCATCTGTCTCACTTGCCAATACAGTAATTTTTTTTAATGGGCAGCTAACGAAACATGAAAAAGAGATGACATTTATTTTTTATCCCTCATAGTCGGCTCTAATTGGTTGGCTGCTCTCCAGAGCTGGAAATACAAATCAGTGGAAATAACACTAGCCTTCAAATTGCCGAACAAATTTGAGATATGGGTGATGATTCAGATGTCTGAAAGGAGACTACATCGATGGAATTTGAAGTGTTTCCTCTTTTTGAATGAAAATAGGCATCTTGTCTGGGAGCTTTCATTAGTCTGAGTATTGGCAGCATTTAAACATGATTTGTGTAGGTTGTTGCTGAGAATAAAAACAACTCCGACTGGGTTTTTCTTTTCCATTTCCTGGTCACCGAGCCTTCATGTGTCTCATATTGTAAGCTATAAATCAGCAGTGGGCTTTAACTCGGAATGATTGAGGGGAGAAAAAGATCAAAGTTAGGCCTACCTGTAGGTTATACTCAACTCTTCAGTCCTATAACTTTAGCTCCACTGATATACTTTCTATTATTAGGTACAACAAAGTGTTACGTTTACCGCTAACTACTGCAGTCAGATTTTGGCTCAGATTAATCTGTTTTATATGAGTTATTTTTTTCAGTTTAATTTTACTCTGTACTTGTGGTTTTGCAAATAGTTACGTACTTTTTGTGTGTTTGTGTTTGTTTTCCAGTGCTGAGTCCATGTTCTGCAGTCTCAGCCAGAAGGTGTCACTCCATCTACAAGGGTTTCGCTCAGTGTCTGATGGCTCTGGGCGACAGTTTGACGGACAGCGCCCGCAAGGAGGAGGACACGCACGAGATACACTCCATCTGCAGGTCATTCACTGCAGTCACAACAGTGCAGTTTCCCTCAGATCACTTTCAGTATTCAAACACTTGTTAGTGTGCATTTGGGTGTTTAAGAGAGTAGGTTAAGAAATTAAAGACAGAAGCTCTGTTGGGAAAGAATTACTGATTCTTGGAATTGGAAATAGCATGCAAAAAAGTTTAGATAAGAATTTTGCAATTCCACCTGAGTAGCCTGCTGTCTGAAATCGATAAGGCAGATAGAGGCCAAAGAATGGTGCAATCTGGAACCACAGACTGAAGTCTTGTCTCTCTAATTCCTCACTATGCTCGGTCTTGCCTTTTTACATGCAGTTATGAATAGATTTTTCTCAAATTATGCTGTGTGAACATTAATACATTTTTACCAGGATTAATAACTGCCTGTAAAGAGTTTAACCATCACTGTGAGGCAGAATAAGCCGTAATTCAGTCGTGCGCTTTACTTAGAAGGCGTTACATCCTTTAAATTGCACTCTTCAGTGTCTAGTGAAAACATAAATGAGATTATTGCTGGGAATGTTCACTTCCTCCACAGTATATTTGATAAAAGTCACTAAACCTCCAGCAGTTATTTGTACAAAACATTTTATTTGAGACAAAGAAAAAAGAAAAAAAAAAAGTTAAATTTATTACAGTCAGAGATATTCAGACACAGTGTGTGCGAAGGTAAATGAGGATACTATCTTAATTGTCTGCTAATGATTAGATGATTAGATGATTAGCATTATCTACACTGACATCATGTTTTAGTTAGCTGTTTTAGCTTTATCCCTCTCCAGCACATGTCAGTTCCTCAGATAGAGCAGTTTTACTCTCCTTTTAGAAGAGTAGCTTAACTGGTTACCCGTCACTTCACGATGCTAATTATTACTTTTCCTTTTACTGCTAAAAGTCACCATTATTAACTTGATGTTCCACTGGTGGGTCTCTAACTGGCACTTTGATACCAGTCTCTGTTTTTGTGTTGGTATTAAACTTCATATATGATTAACGTACCAACATTTTTGACCCAAAAGTAAACTTGGGCATTGAAAATAAAACTATTCTGAAAAAATGTTAGTTATATTATGCTGTTTGCGTACCATCACACAGAAGATGCTGGACTACAAAACACACATTAACTGTTTATATTTCATCTATTTATTCCTCCTCTTTTGCAAACGTAATATTCATTTGCCTTTGTGCTGCGTCTTTGACGAGTCAACATCACAGGACTGTGAATGTGCTCCCCAATAAAATAAAAACTGATTGAACAGAGTGGGTTATATGAGAGGAATATCGAAGCTCTTATTTAAAGAGACAGAAAGATCATGGTGATGGATGTGAAATCAATTTCAACATGTTTATCTTGTTCACTGTTTTGTTTTATATGACAGTTAATTTGACACTGATGCTAAGCTGCAACTGTGAGCCTACAACGTTTTAAGCTATGAGTGAAAACAGGATGTTTAGCTCCAAGCCTGTTTGGTGAGTAGATACCACCACAGTTACTGGTTTACTGTCACAGAATCTTTAAGTCAAAGCAGGATGGAGGACTTAAATGCAGAAAAAACTAAGAAAGCTGTAACAGTTTCAACATTTTTATCGACAGCAACAGCAACAACATTATTTAGAAGTTAGAAGTTAGTTCACAGGGACAACTGGAGTTGATCAACCCGTCCAAATTAAAGGGGTCCACTAGGAGAGTGGACCCCTCTTAATGCGGCCAAACCAGAGATAAATGTTCCTCAGGCAGAATGCAAAGCTGACTGAGTACACCTGACTTTATCTTACTTTGAGGACAGGGTGAGTCCTTCGTGGAGGGAGGCGGCTGGTTTGTTGACTTGTAGGTAAGTGAGTTCCAGGAGGGCAGGCGACAAGAGTCAGTGATCTTGGTGAGAATGACCAGTTTCATGGGAGGAAGGTCCCTACACCGATCATAGGCTACGTCTACACTAATCCGGATAAATTTGAAAATGGCGTTTTCGTCTAAAAACGCTCCGCGTCCACACTATTGTTTTCAATCGTTTCCGAACAGTTGTTCATCCACACTGTCCATGTCCATGCGTGAAACGTAAGACGATTCGACCTGCTCATTTCTATCTGCTGTTTATTTACTTTCCAGCTCTTTGAAGTGTCGTGGCAAAAAGTTGAGGAAAAGCACAGAGTTTTTTTAAATTGACTGACAATGAGGTGGAGTTGTTGCAAAAGCGAATGAGAATTAAAGAATTTGAAGAAAAACTATCTGGAGCATGTACAAACTGATATTTATCTTTAATAGGGATGTCAAAATTGGGAGCAAACAAAACAACTGCTGTATAATGCCCTCTGCTATCTTAGTTTAATTGGCCACATGACTGTATCATATGACTAAAACACATCATCGTTTTCGAAAGCATGCGGTTACGCTGTCCACACTGCAACGCGAGCACCATTTTTAAATGTATCTGCTTTGGAGAGCATTTTCCAAAAGCTCAGTTTTCATTGACCAACAACGCAGTCTGAGTGTGGACGGAAGGCCAAAATGGAGAGAAAAAGATGTGTTTTCAAACAAAAATGTATTAGTGTGGACATAGCCTTAGGTGAGGGGAAGGTTCGCTGGAAACAGGGAGACAAAGGTGTTAGCAGCAGGGTGCAGAAGGTAATAGTGTAATAGAGTAATAGTGGTAAGTTGATCCTTAAATGCTAGTGGGTGGTGAATTCAGTGAGTCTAAGGAAGGAACCTGAACTTGTGTTGGAGGTTCAGGGATACTGTCAAGGAAAGCACCCTTGATACTGGCTATAGTAGGTTTCACAACAACCTAATAATCAACCACATGAGGGGCTGGACTATAATTATCTGAAGTTTTCTTTACCGTCGAAGTATAATCAAAGGGTGCATGGAAGTTTTCCTGAGGTGCTTTGATGGGATGGAGTTGTTAAGGCCAATTCGGTCTCTGTACAAACACAGGAAAAGGTTAGTCCTCATTTGAAGGGGGAAACTGATAAATGAATTGGTGTAGCATATACAGTGATGTGGATGAAATGAATATCTTTCATGGTAACAAGAGAATGTAGTGTTGATCTTGGACAGCTTACTGTAATGTGTTTCTGTCCATATTTGCTTATGGAGAGCTTTGCAGACCGTCACCTACAGATTGTAGCTGTTTAGTGTCTGCAGATATTCTGGTGCTTGTGTTTCTATCATTGTTGGTTCATTAGCAACCCACAGTGCAAAGTAATAACTTACAAAGAGCTGAAGTGAAACAAGTATTACAAAACAGTCCACTGCAGACATTGGCTGTTCTTTTCATGCTGTTGATCTTTGATAGTTCTTCACTCTTCTCTCTATATGTGGTGAACTACACTATCATTGCCTTTTATATGGCAGACCACTTTTCAGCCAATCAGCAGTCAGCCTATGCATGGTGTCGTCCATGCCAAGCTATATGCTTGTTGTATTTTTAGTTAGCTTAAATGCAGTCATTTTTACATAGGTTGCATTCCCATCCGTGCAGGCTCTTCATAGGCAAACGGACACAAATATGCTAAATCCCACATTACTGGTCAATCTATATTGCTAACATCAGAAGCTGTGGATGGCAACTGAAATAATAAGATCGCAGAAGCAAGTGGCAGATACGAGGTTTCACTGAAGGACAGCTAAGCTCTCCCTTAAAGTCTGACTCAGTTCCTCACTGTTTTATGAGGGGTTCAGAGTAGAAAAGAGCCAGCTGAGGTGGTTGAGATCACTCCCCTTTCACACCTCGTCGGTGAGGTCTTTTGGGCATGTCTGACTTTGGCAGACAGAAGACATCCTGGAGATATTGCGTCTCTTTGCTGGTCTTGGAATTTCGTGGTATACCATGAATAGAGCTGGAGGAGATGGCTGGGGAGAGGGAAATCTGTGAATCTTTGCTTAGTCTCTTACCCTATGACCCGGACCCGGAATAAGCAAGAAAAACTGGATGGGTGTTAATAACAAATTTGTATAGAAGTTCATGCCGGCTATACAAGTCCAAAGACAGATAAGTCAAAGATATACTGATTTAATCTTGTTTTTATTTCAGTTTGACTTTAAATGGTAAATGGTAAATGTCCTGTATTTGTATAGCGCTTTTCTAGTCCCTAAGGACTCCAAAGCGCTTTACACAACCTGTCATCCACCCATTCACACACACATTCACACACTGGTGATGGCGAGTTTGACTTTAAATATAAAGACTGCTGTCTCTGACCTTCTTACGGCGTGTCTTCACTCACTCTTTAACACTCTTTTTAGCCTCTCGTTGTTTCAGCTGGAGCCCTGAACATTTATCACTCCTCTTCTCTCCTCCTCTCTATTCTTTCTGTCTTCACTTGATTTCTCTATATCCTTTATCCATCCATTATTCTCTCCCTGCCCTTTGTCATCTCCGCTCACCGCTCTATTTATACATACCTCTCTCATCCATCTTTCACAGAAGACCTCTTGGGGAAGAAGATTTCTTAGGAGGGTCTTAGAATAGGACTACTGATCTGAGAGCAGTGTCTGTCAACTTAACTTTGTACAGATGCAAAAGAATTATAATGAATTTCCGGAGTCACCACATTTAAGTGTACAGAGATGCATCCCATCCAAGACCACTGAAGGAAGTCAGAGTGGGAGTTGCACAATTGTGCCAATTAAGCGGATATTTAATGAACTGTAATATGATATTTGACCAATGTTCCTCGTGATATATAGAATTTATCATGTGCATAAAGCATGCATGCTCCATACACATCACTTCTTCTTCTCGAATTCATAGAAAGATGTTGCTCAGCTGACTCAGAAAAAACTAACTGTAGGGAGACATTTTGTGCAAGACACTTTTTCATCAAGATCTACAAACAGTGTTATTAAAGTCCTTGAAGAAAAGCTAAAGGGATTGTTCTGACTATCTTCTTCTGTGACAGCCTCTTGTTGCTGACTCATTCTTATTGTTGATAATTTTGCTCTAGCATCCAGACTGAAATGGAAATATCTTAATAACTATTGGGTCAAATGT